GTGCCACTCTCATTCCTGCTTCCTGGAATTGCTGATCGCCACGTAGTGAGAGAGAACGACAAGAAAGAAGGGCAACACTCCCAGCGTGCTGGTGAAGATGGCGAGCTGCACGTCCTGGATCATCCTGATTGGCCCTGCTCGGCTCCGACGCTCGCCGCGCACAACTTTGTGTTCGAAGCCACATTTTTTACTGACAACTCAATCTCTGCATGATCTAGTATTGTACAAATTTTAAGTGGATCAACCATTACATTCAGGAAACAAACTGAGAGCAATGATATAAGCCCTTTGTTTCCAGGAACTCGAGTGAACAGAGGCAAACATGAATGTTCCCAACACGACTTCAATTCAGGATCACCAGGGCTCCAAAAAGTATACTTGCCAATTCACAGCATGCTTATACGCCAAACCTAGGAAAATTGGTAGCTAAGTGACAAAATGAACAAAGTGAATGCCGTGAAAGAAAAGTTGGGGCTAGAAATGTTGGGTCTGAAACTTTGCAACTGGGTTTAAGAGAAAGCAGATGTTAAGCACACTGAGAATGTTTGAAAAACATTCCATGCTCTGCTTCACAAGCACTAATGTAATCCAAAAGAGCTAACTGGATTGCTAGGTATTACCAGCATAAACCATTGCTTTATAGTTCTAAAAATCAAGGTAATAATTCATATAAATGGATTTTACAATAAGATTCTGCTAACTCAGAATAAAAGAAAATTAATACAATCTAAATAAAATTACTAAGAAATTTTATAAAAATGTGGATGACAGAAAGGAGCTAGGCCATCCACTTAACTCTCCCACCTGCCTGAGAGAACAAAGCACAAGGCACTTGCAAGGGAGGGGACATCTGGGAGAGTAAACTGCCCCGAACTTGCTGCCCACGGAAGGGTGGTCAAGGCCCCCACTCCCTGGAGTTCGGTTTCCTCTGTCACAGGCAAGACGGCCCTTAGGAGTCCTTTGAATGGCAAAAACTGAAGTCAGACATTTCAGGGGAGGAGAGGAATGGATTAAACGCCAGCAGGTGGAGTGATTTTTTTCCTTTTGATACCAGTGCCCAGACTTATTCTGCACAACAATTCTAGGAAATTTTTGACCAATGCTTCCATCTATAAGTGGTACCCTCCCCTCGCCCCAAATGGATTTTTTCAAAGCTATGCATTACAAAATGTTTTTTTTAACCCAACAACCAAATCACCTTCAAAGTATTCTCCATTACACATAATACATTTGTCAAATCTGTGGGTTCCATTCATGGAAACATTTTCCAAGCTCATCTGTTTGGATAGCTGACAGCAGCTTCCTCATTTTTTCTTCACTTCCTCTGAATTGGTCAAATAGCTATTCTTTCATGTCCCTCTTTATTCGCAGAAACAAAAAGAAGTCGTCACACAGAGTGAGGTCAGGTGAGTAAGGTACATGCGGCAAGAGAGGCATGGTGTATTTTGCCCCAAAACTGGAGCACTTAGATGGCTGTGTGAGCAAGTGCATTGTCACGGTGAGAAAACCAGTCCCCCTTCTGCCACAAATCAGGCCTTTTTGTGTCACACACTTTTACACAATGTTTTCAGAACCTCTAAATAGAAAGCTTAACACTCTTACCTGGTGGAACGACCTCCAAATGCACACGAGTCAACATTTTCTTTTGTTCAGGAAATTGATGGACGTCCAGAATGAGGTTTGACATCAATCAACGTTTCACTGTTTCTGAAATGAGAAAACCACTTGTACACTTGAATTTTTTTCCATGGCATAGTACTTGTAAGCTGTGTTCAATATCATGACAGTTCCTTTGGCAATTTCCCCAACCAGGAAACAAAATTTCACAGCCACACACTATTCTCTTAAATTGGCCAGCACAAAAAACAAGGTTAGAGCAACTGCTTTTATGAAAAAATTCACTGTGGCCAGAGAGAACCTTCCCAGGCGACACCACTGGATGCACGAACTCAAAGTGAGTTGCTCGATGCTTGCCTACCAGGAAAAACACATATTGTGAAAGCTCTACCCAGCAGAGCTTCTTTCTGGTTTTTCTTTTTGGGGGGAGCATATCCCCTCATATCTGGGTGATACTGTTCAAAGGCCAGCAAATGAGACATCAGCAATGACACTTTTGATAAAAATGAAAAAGACCTGACCAAATTTATGTAGAAAATAATGCCTTTCCACATTCTGACAAGCAGTCAAGGGAGTTCCTACCCTTGCATCTTAAGGGCCACCAACCTGGTCGGGAAATGCCAAGGGGTCGCACCTTTACATTTATTCAAGAAGAACCTAATGCATGCACACAAGCAGGAATGGGTTTCTAGAAATTCTACCAAAAAGTAACTAGGATGAAACTGTTCAACAGAAAAGATGCAAGAATTGAGTGCAGTATAGGATTTTTTTTCCTTTACAGAACAGAAAAATGATCCCAAGAGAGTATTGACTTCTCATTCTGTCCCTTAAGAGTGTAAGAATCTTTTCTCTTGAATTCAACACACTGGCTTCATTTTCAAATGCATTAATTTTATTTTCCTTGTAAGGCAGCCAGATTGTAAATCTATGCTCCTGACAGTCACCCAAGTTCCTTCTACACCGGGGTCCCTATGAGTCTCCCTGGAGCTCAACATAGCAGAGTCCAGAGGTTTCAGATATGAAATCGTTCTTCTTAGACATGTACAAATAAACCTTTTCTTGATTTAATTCTCTTTCTATATACAAACACATACAAGTGTCACTGGTTTTACTTATCTAGAGAACGTAACCTAACACAATTTTTAAATGGAAAAGCAATTTGCTTGGTAAACTTTCATCCAATTCACAATGCTGAGAATAAAATTAAAAAAAATAACAGAGTTTTTACACACAAGAAGAGAATTATGGTCAAGAGGAGCCCTGAGGAGCAAGGTGAAAACTGACTACCCTCTTCCACCCAGCTGCGTCGGACCTTACCTAAACATAACCCACATCTTCTCTTTACAGCAGTGCTTTGCACTGTGTGTGTGACACAGATATCACTCCCTTTGATGTGTTTTTGTCTCGTCTTCAGTGGTTGCATCCATTTCCTAATTAGCGTATGCACAACATCTTAAAATATCACACAAGTTTAAGTCATATATACTGTCTGTGTTGTCTTCCAGATTGGACGGTGACTCTCTTAATATCACAACCTAACCCACTGCCAGTGAGCAAGTTCTTGCTCATAGCAACTCCATAGGACAGAGCAGAACCACTCCTGGGATTTTTGATACAAGTCAATGTGGAAGCAGACAGCCCTTTCTTCCTTGGTGTGCTTTGTAGGGTCAGACTGTTGACCTTGTGGTTAGCAAGCCCATAGTGACCAACTATGCCACAGGAATTTTTATTTAAATCATTTTATTGGGCGCTCGTACAACTCTTGCCACAATCCATACATCAATTGCATCAGGCATGTTTGTACATATGTGGCCTTCATTCTTTTCCAGACATTTACTTTCTATTGAGCCCTTGATATCAGCTCCTCCTCCCCACCCCCATAACCCTGATAGATTGTACATTGTTATTTTCATCTCTCACACTGACCACTCTCTCCCTTTCCCCATGTTTTCTGTTGTTCTTCCCCCTGTAGAGGGGTGTATGGTTATGTGTCGATCATTGCGATTGGTTCCTTCTTTCTCCCTTCTTGTCCCCCTCTTTCCCCTACCCTTATGGTAACACTATTCCCATTCCCATTCCTGGATTCTGTGTGTCGTGAGTTCCCATCCCTTTCTATACCCCACAGGAATTTTCATAGTCTCTCAAAGTAGGTTTCATGGACATATTTTTCAAATGTCAGGTTAACCCATTAGATGGCTGAGAAATCTATTGAATGAATTTTGGCAAATTTTTTGTCAGTGAAAGAGAATGCACTCGAACAGAACACATATATAAAGTAAAAGATTGTGATATAAAATTTTAATTTTAGTTACTATACATATGTTTACATAAATGTATGAACAAAAATATATACATATATTTGAAACACACATCAACCCATAAGGTTATCTTGTCCTACAAGGGAAGTTTAACTATGGGCCACGTCAAGTTTAACTATTTTCCAATTCAAAAACTTGGAAAAACACTGATGTTTGAGATGAAACATATACTAGATATTTACCATGTCCAGCTGAATATATAGAATGAATGAACTATAAAACCTGATAACTTCAAGAACTGGTGAACCAAGAATGAATGAAACACACACACATGCACACACACACAGAGGTAACAATCAGAAAACCAGTGCTGTCTGGAGGAGAGCCAGCAAGATTAGGATGCATAACTCTGAGCTGCCTCCTGAGCTGCCTGAATCTGCATGTGGAGCTATCAAACAGATCTTCTTCATGATCTTGATGGGGTAGCCTTCTAATTCAGTGAAAGCATGGTCACAAAACTGTTTAGTAGTACAGCACTTCAAAGTAACGTTCGCATCCTCATTATCTGTAGAGAGAGAGAGAAAGATTTATTGTAAAAAGAAACATCCTAGCTTGATGAGAATCTCAGAACTGAGCCTGAAGCAGAAAAAAAAAAAATCAAATCTACATTTTCCCACTGATTCAATTAGAAAAAGTTTCTGGATCTTGGATTCCTCCACTGTGATTGACAGGAATGGGACTGCCTTTGCTCTAAACTGGCTTTCACCTGAAGTTAATTTAGATGTTTATGAGGCAGAATTATTAGATAGTAAGGGAAAATTTTTGGAGTTCTATTTCTTGCAGATATAAATCCTTTAAAATCCTGCCAAAGAATGTTTGTGATAATTTGATGAAGGTAAGTCTGTAATCCATACCTTCAAATTCTACAAATATACAAAATTCTCATATAGAAAAAAATGTGTCCCAAAGATGGGAATTAATGAAAACCTTCTTAGAAGATTGCCCAACTTTTATTAAAGAATTGACATCCTTGTCAAATACAGATGACATACTACTTTTGCATCCAGAACTCACTGTTTCAATTTATCTTTGGGTACCATATGATGTCTGAGTCATATCTACATGGACTGAAGAAAGAAGACCAGAATATTTCTTCACTGCCACTCACTACAATCACATCTGCAAACAAACAAAGTTTGATGTTTGTTAAACTAACCCAACAGACACTAGACCTGCTTCAAAGAAAAA